TCTGATTGGTTAGCTAGCCCAGTGTGTTGTGATTGGCTAAACCGCCTCTAGCACGTCTAATCGTACCGCCCCTCAACATAGCGACATGTGCTCCAGTTGTATTGTAAACAATGACGTCGTCTATATTGCTTATCAATTTGAGCCAGATTGAGACGCAGAGGATATTAGTAAAGAGGATCGCGCTGAACCTGTGCAAGCACGGCTTTTAATGGTAGGCCTAAGATTTTTGTTTGTTGTTGTCTCATACTTTTAGATACGCTGTTATTTGTAAATGCTACTGCTTCTGTTAGCTTTTAATAGACGGTTTTATTCTGATTAAAGCTTAATACAGTTCGGCAACCGCACGTATGTATGTATAACCATGTATAACGCTTCTCATAGCTATAGTATGTGAAAATAAGTGTATTCACTGACGGACCCGGGAAGTAACTCGTTGTAGTCCCTTACCAGTCGTTTTTGTAGGCATTAAACTGCTAGAATTTTAAAAGACGATATCTCCGTTTGCATTGAACTTTCAGCTTCGTAACTTTGCAGATATTGTTTATGATCAAACAGCAACATTACACACTAACTAACATTAAAAAAGTAAAATCGCAATCAACCACCCCTTTAAACAACAGGAGAAAACAGAGAAAAACAGAATAAAATGATATGATAGGAATAAAATAGAGACATGCACGAAATATGTTTCAGTTAAGTAATTAACAAATTAACAAAACAAAAGAAACATAGTTTTATTAAAAGTCTAAAGTCTTAGTTTTATTTCAGTTTTCTGGCCACACCACAAATTTAAGGACGCTGAAAGCACATCCTGTTTGTTTACTTTATTTTACAAAGTCATAGTTTTGTTCTCATTGTGAGCATACATAAATAAGAGTAAACCCTTTACAGATGCAAATGATGTCTTACTCTTATCCTTTTGACCAAAAATCACAGAATATTTTAGTTTTTCCTGGTGTGATATGGAAAATATGCATGATTGCGCCGATTTGTGTTTGACTTGTGTTTTATTTTATAACTGTATATATAATTTTGTACTAGAATTTTTTCATATTTTCTTATTTTTATCTTATTCTGTTCTGAATGCTGGTAAAATTTAAAGGATTTGCTGATAGGTGACTAATGTGTTTTTTTTCTTTTTCTCTCTCTCTCTCTCTAATCTAATTATTTTATTCATGCAGTAAACGTTTAAAAATAGTTTTGGGGAAAAAAAGTAAAAACTGTGTTCAGCTCATCAGTAAATTATGCGAGCTTATTTCGCAATATTAGATCGAAAGATCAGAAAAAGCCCCTCCCCTCAAAAGAAATCATGACAGAAGTGGTCAAAAGTGGACAGAGGAGACCGATCAAAACACCAGGTGTGAAAGGGAATGTGTCTCCCTCGTCTGCTTGTGATCCATTTGACCAAAACGCATCTTAACACCAGGTGTAAACAGGGCCCTTGAAAGTTGTGATGGTTCAGCTGTTCAGGTGTAGGTTGTCAGCTCGTTCCACCAGAGAGGAGCAGAAAAGGTCTGGAAATCGACTTTGTGTCGTTGTGAAGAATCAGAGCCCTAAAAGATGCTTTTGCATGTAGTCTTTTGCTGCTGTCATCAAAGAATACTGTGTGTTTGGATTCACAGATGATCCACAGTTACATGGAGCACTTGGAACGTACCAAATACCAGCAGATGACGGGAGAGACCACAGACAATGCGAGTCAGAGCAGAATTAGGTGAGGAGGTTTCTGATCTCATTCACAAATACTACACTATATTTCATCCACCTACACAGTTTCTAAAACCAGTTTCTGTGTGTATAGCTATAATTAATAGTGTTTGCTTTACTGTTTATGCCAGTTCCATATAATGCGGCTGTGACTTGTACTTAAATAACCCTCGTGAAGTCTCCCACATGCATGCACGCAAAATCTGTGAGCCTCTCCTAATGTAGGTCAGCGGTTTGTGTGTGTCTCGGCTGAGTGTGATATGGAGGGATTGAGTGAGAGAGAGAATCGTCTGGCAGATGTTAATGAAGACAGAAGCAGTGGGATGGATGGCATGGTGATTGTGTTATAGACTGACAGCATGATAATTGAAGCATGAAAATGTGTATTTCACAGAGGCTTCACAAGCATAACGTGACATGGTTTCTACAGGGGTTTCAGTGATGGCCCGCTCTAATCTGTTCATGCTTATAGATACAAACATTGTTATAATAAGGATCCCCCAAAATTGTGATCCTATGAAGACAGTTATATTTTCACTATGTGACTGGAAAATGGTAAGTGTGATTTTAAAGACAACATGTTGTATGCAAATTTAAATGAATTGATAAAAATATTAAATAAAAGTTTGTAGTAGGGCTGGGCAAAAAAAAATGGATTTTTCGATTAATTGTTTTTTTAAATGACATCGATTCAATATCGATTCTCAAAAGCCACGAATCGATCTTTTCCGGGATTTGTTTAAGCACATTTAAAACAAGATCTGATTAACGCGAATCTTATCATTAGTCTTCTCCACTAGATGTCACCCTTATTTACCTTGCGCAATGTTACAACAGAAAGCCTGTCATTCATTCAGCGCTTATCATGGCCATACGCGTGATTCGCAATGTTTGCCAAAAAAAAAAAAAGTGTTTAATTTTCATTTGATTTATAAATTAAATTAATGTTTTATGCCTTCATCTGATTACCAGAAAAATTAAGAACATTTTATAGGGCCCTACTATTGTTTAAAAAGGACCCTATACAAAAAAAAAAGAATAGGTTTAAAATACAGGCATGTGGTTCTTAATTTCTTTTTATTAATTCACTATTTGTAAACTGATGTTTACTGTTAATTTTTTAGAAATATCAATAGCATTTGTATTAAAACTATATTCACTGAATGTAATAAAAAAAATAAATCGAGAATCGAATCGAATCGAGAGCTTGCGAATCGAAATCGAATTGAATCGGGACATCTGAATCGATACCCAGCCCTAGTTTGTAGCCAGTAAGATTTTTTAAATGTTTTTTTTTTTAAAGTCTCTTCTGCTCATCAAGGCTGTATTTATTTAATTAAAAAAAAAAAAGGAAAAATTGTGAAATATTATTACAATTTAAAATAAATGTTTTCTTTGTCAATATATATAGTAAAATGTAATTTATTGCTATAATCAAAGCTGAATTTTCAGCATCATTACTCCAGTCTTCAGTGTCACATGATCTTCAGAAATCATTCTAATATGCTGATTTACTGCTCAAGAAACATTTCTGATTATTATCAATGTTGAAAACAGTTGTGCTGCTTCATATTTTTGTGGAAATTGTGATGCATTTTATTTTTCAGGATTTGTTGATGAATATAAAGGTTAAAAGAACAGCATTTATTTGAAATAGAAATCTGTTGTAAAAATATAAATGTATTTTCTGTCACTTTTGATCAATTTAATGCATCCTTGATCAATTAAAATATTAAGTTCCTTAAAAAAAAAACATAATGACCCAAACAAAGAAGCCCATTCACATCTATTTGTATAAATGTGTAACTACATAAAAACATGCAAGTACAAAAGTGTTGTCACTTTGGTAACACTTTACTTAAAGCCTTTATGTATAATGCATTATAAATGTAATTTTAATGCATTAATTATGCCTTGTTATGCACCTTATAATGCAGTATACAATCTCATAAATAATTGCAACCACAGGTAATACATTTTATAACACTAATCAATTCATTGTTACACTACGCATTTTAAATTCGGTTATAATTATTTACAAAATATAATGTATTACAACGCACATGAAATATTTTAATGCGTTATACCCTTTAATAACCCTTTATAATGCATTATATATAAAGGCTTTAAGTAAAATGTTACCCTTTTTTTTTTTTTTTTTTTGGAAACTATGACAGAATAATCAAAGCAAATTTTCAGACATTAGAAAGACGAATGAAATAGTAATTGTCAAATTAAGTAAATATTAGCTTTTTTACGCTCAAATTTTTCGGTGGACACCCAGACCGGACCACAGTTTGAAAACCCCTGTCCTAGACTGAGCCATGTTACAAATGTTGTGAGAATCATGTGTTGCTTGTGAAGGTCATGCCTGTTGGTTTATAGATGGATTTGTTGGGAGAGTCTATCTGCTGAGAGGATTATGGGATTATTTAAAAAAAACTTGATCATATCAAATCAAAGCGTTCGGAAAAATCAGCAGTATGTGGCGTAAGTCAGTCCTCTCACAATTCAAGCTGATTTTTACACTGATACTAGTTTTATTGTATAAAGAATTATTTTTATTTCAGCATTGACTTTAAAGAATTTGTTTTATATTGAAGCCTGTTTCCGACACTGATAAAAAAATAAAACAAGGCAATTCCACCTTTTTATCTCAGAATTCTAATTTCTTTTCTCAGAATTGCATGTTTCTGTTATGCATTTCTTAGAAAAGATGTCAAAATTGTGAGATAAAAAGGTGCAATTGCCTTGTTTTATATTTTATTCATAAAGTCGCAATTGTGAGATATAATTGCAAGTTTATATCTCACAATTCTGACTTTGACACGCCATTGCGTGTTTACATCTTGCAATTAAAATTTTATTTTTCATAATTGCGAGTTTATATCTCGCAATTCAGATTTTATTTCTCACAATTGTGAGTTTATATCTCTCAGTTCTGACTTTATGACACGCAATTCGGAGTTTATATCTCACAATTCTGACTTCTTATTTCTCACAATTGCAAGTTTACTTCTCGCAATTCAGATTTTATTTCTCACAACTCTTACTATACAGTATAACAAGCAATTGCGTTTATATCTCGCAATTCAGATTTTATTTCTCGCAATTCTGACTATACAGTATAACAAGCAATTGCTAGTTTATATCTCGCAATTCTGACTTTATTTCTCATGATTGCACGTTTATATCTCCCAATTCAGATTTTATTTCTCGCAATGTGACTTTATCCAGAATTCTCACTTCTTTTCTTGCAATTGCGACTTTAGAATTGCGAGATGAAAATTACTTTTAAATTTTTTTATTCAGTGGCAGAAACGGACTTCCATAGTTTTATACTCAGTGCTGTTAAAGACAGAAAAACCTTGCAGTATTTAATATGCATAATGCCATAAAACAAGTTGCACTTTGTTATATTTTACACTGCATAAATACAGTACATGCACTTCAAAGTCAGGGATTGATTCACCTCATGCTTGTTAGCAGGTGGATTGGGCTTTTGTGCTCTCTGGAGACAAGCTAGAGTATGTTTGTTGTTCTCTCTGATCTGCATATACGCATCTATTCCCACAACCAATCAGCTGTGGGATAGAAACCGGAAAACGCATTCAGAATCAGTGCATGAGAGCTGTTCATTAGGCAACAGAGGAGTGCGTGAGCAGCACACAAGAAAAGACAGCTGCTGCAAAGCCGCTCGTATGTGTGTGTGTGTGTGTGTGTGTGTGTGTGTGTGTGCGTGCGCGTTCGCTGTTCGCCATGTGGATGATGTCACAGCAGTGAGAGGCTGCAGAGCCGCGCTCACACACACACTATGATCCTCGCGCTGCTGTGCCGGTGTTGATGGGATTGTTTTCACGTTTCGGGGGGCAGCGGGCGGCCCATAGTGTGTGGAGGCAGCCATGAGTCCGGGATGCATGCTGCTGTTTGTCTTTGGCTTCATGGGGGGAGCGGTGGTCATCAACTCTGCCGTTCTGGTCTCTCTCTCCGTTCTGCTGCTGGTGCATTATTCTGTCTCTAACGGCCTGCCCGCCATCACACACTCCCTGCCCCGCATCAGCAGGTACGCAGCGACAGTATGTGTGTGTGGATGATGCCTTGTTTTCTTTTTCACTGGCTGTGTCATATCCTCTTCAAGTTAAGCTTCTGTTTTCCCTGCATTTCTGTCAGTCTGTGTTTTGTATTTTACTGCATTGCTTGTTCATCGTGTGTTTGAGACTAGTCGAGAGAATGTAGTAAACAAGAGTGGATCAAGCATTGATGCGGCGAGAACCGGCAGAGCTGAGAGTCACACAGCACAGAGTTAATTTCTCTTGTCAATACAGTGCAGGGTTCTGTCTCTTTGCTGGTGTTCTGTCAGAGAAATGCATATTCTTTGTGGCTTCACTTTGTTCTGTGCTTCCATACTTCCTTAGTGCAGTAGAGTTGCATTCAGTACAGCTGCAATTGAACACCTGATATTGTTTGCTGGTTTGAAGAGCTTTCTGTTGATTGTTTGGAGATGTTAAGCAGGTTTCATGTTTGTAGTGTCCTGTTCGGGTGATTGAAATTGTAAAACATGTATACATTGTAACCTGAGCTTTAAAGGGGTCATATAATGCGATTTCAAGTTTTCCTTTCTCTTTGGAGTGTTACAAGCTGTTCGTGAATAGATAAGATCCCTGAAGTTGCAAAGACTAAAGTCTCAAAACCAAAGAGATATTCTTTATCAAAGTTAAGACTCTGCCACACCCCCCTAAAACGGCTAGTTCTAACACGCCCCCACATATCTACCTCACTATGTGGGAATATTTGTAATATTTGCAAATGTTCACGCAAAGAAAGAAGGCGTGGTTTCAGTAACCGCAAAAAAAAAAAGAAAAAAAAGAGCCCTACACTAGTAATACTACCGTCAGATAAATATATAATATATATATTTTTAAATGTATTCATCAAGGACACATTAAATTGATCAGAAGTGACAGTAAAGACGTTTATAATGTGACAAGATTTCTATTTCAAACAAATGCTGTTCTTTTGAAAATTCTTTTCATCAAAGAATCCTGAAAAATAAAATGCATCACAGTATCATGTATCAGTATTTCACAAAAATATTGGGCAGCACAACAGTTTTCAACACTGATAATAATCAGAAATGTTTCTTGAGCAGCAAATCAGCATATTAGAATGATTTCTGAAGGATCATGTGACACTGAAGACTGGAGTAATGATGCTGAAAGTACAGCTGCGCATCACAGCAATAAATTACACTTACAACATATTCACAGAAAACAGCTATTTTAAATTGTAGTAATATTTCACAGTATTACTGTTTTACTGTATTTTTGGTCAAATAAATGCAGCCTTGGTGAGCAGAAGAGACTTCCTTCATCAAAAGCCTTACCAACCTCAAACTTTTGAACTATAGTGTATTTTAACATCATCAAAATGACTTGGAGGTCAAAATGTGCTTAATTGTCATGACAGTGTCACAAAAGTTTAAATAAGTTTCCAAAGTAGACTTTTTTTTTTATTATGCTAATATTTATTGTACTATCAGTGGGTAATTCTGTAAAGCTGACAATAGTTTTCTTTTCATGAGCAAAGCTAAAGACTGATAAATATAATTTGGGTAATAAAAAATGGATACAAATGTGATTTAATATTCAACAAATATCCATTTCTGACTGTGATATGCTAACATAACATCAGTAGATTTTGAAAGTGATTTTGATTGTTTAGAAAGCTTGTTATCCTGCTGTTAACTACCTCTAATTTATCCTGACTCCAGAGAGCAGCTTGCTTTGGTTCATCGCGAGAATTGAAATACTTGATAAAAGGGAAACTGTTCTTGCTTCTGAACTCATCAAAGATTAATCTTTTTCATCTAGCTTTTGTATAATTTAGTTGCAGATAACTGGACTTGGCTTGCTGTTCCAATGCAAACATCATATTAGTTGCTTTTGACCAGTTTCTTCCAGGATTTCTTCTGGTTCTGCTTTTATAAATAGTCTGAAACAGAAACTGCCTGTGCTGTAATAGCTCTTCATGAATTGAACTTCGGACCTGAACTTCTACAACTCAACCTTTATTGCATGACATATGTAACTGTCACTACGTGTCCTCTGACATGTGTGATTACGCAAGGTTTTGCCTTCAGCATGAGTATTGATGTGCGTTCATGGAGCTCTGTCTGATGTACGAAGCTCTGATATGCATTAATTTACTCCCTTTTATTTTCACTTAACACACGTCACTGAGGTGCACCCGACTTTTGGGACGCTTGTTCCTCTGTAGAGATACAGCACGTCTGATTATTTGCATTATCGCAGATTTTTGTGGTAGTAGTTGAATTCACACTTCCTCAAATTTGTTAAAAAAAAACCTGTACTTAAATTTTTTCCTTACTGTACTGTTCCAGCTGAATAGAGTGAATCCTGCTCATGTGAGCAGATCCGCTCTGAATGTGCAGTCAGCAGGTTCAGGCTCTGAATGCAGCTCTATGGCAACCCACAACAGGAAGACAGACAATCAGAGAAGACAAAAGAAAAGCCCCATCAATCAAACGCTCCTCTGCTCTCCTAGAGGAGCTCTGATGTTTGTGCTGTTTGCTAAGGCACATACTGCATGCACCTAAATCTAAAAACCTGAAAACGTGCACCATAGACTTCTATTGAGACATGTATAAGGATCAGAAAAGCATAAAGACTCATGTTGGCTTGTTGGCTTGTCACTGATCCAAAGGCCTTAGAAACCACTTAAAACACCTACAGGGAATGTTGTCAGTCCGGTGGCAACAACACTGTGGCAATGAGTTTTTCTCCAAAAAAAAAAAACTATGTAAAAATGCAGTGAAACCAATGCAATATGGTTTCATTTCCACCCTAAACTTGATATGAAATTGTTGAGAAACATGCTCCATTCATATCTGAATAAAGGACATTATGTAATCTATAATGTTTACTATTTAGTTCATAATTCGTTATTGCTGTTGCTCATATTTCTTACACCCAAAACAGATAAAAACATATCATAGACTTGCATTGGGATTAGGGCTGGACGATATGGCCAAAATTGATATCACGATATATTTCTTAATTTCGGTCGATACGATATAATTCCGATATCGATATGAACACTATTTATCTGAAATAGAAATCTTTTGTAACATTATAAATGCCTTTATCATCACTTTTGATCAATTTTAAGCATCCTTGCTAAATAAAAGTATTAATTTCTATAATTTCTTTCCCCAAAAACTAATAAAAATTATACTGAATGGAATAGTGTATAATGTTACAAAAGCTTTATTTCAGATAAATGCTGATCTTTGGATCTTTGATGTGGAAGAATCAGAATGTCATAAAGACTTGAGTTCGCTTTTTGATTTAGCAACACCCTACTTACCTCGCCAAACACCCTAGAAACCCCTTTAAACTCCTTACTGGGAAATACTGGAAAAATTGTCAGTCCAATTGTAGTGGTACCATCATAGTGGTAGTGAGTCTTTAGTCCGAAAGCATTTACATTTACATTTAGTCATTTAGCAGACGCTTTTATCCCTGAAAAGATACTTTTAAAATTAAACAACTGCCAGCAGGTGGCGGTAAGTCATTGATTTTTATCACTGAATCATTCATTCAATTGATTCATTCGAACGGCTGATTCATTCAGGAATGAATCAAGTGAC